TTGCCACCACCATCAGTACTTTTATCGCGGGGATTCACCGCCAGCCCCACCACCGTTGGCATCCCCTCCATCATGCTCGACCCAACACTGCTTCTTGAGCTACCATGGCACAGATCTAAGATAAATAACAAGGAGAAAGGGGTCGTGGTGTAGATCTATAAAAAATAATGAGAACTCGTATAGATCTACCCTCATCATCACGTTATCCGCCACAATCGCCGCCACCATATCCCAGATGTGGAAGAAAGATGGAGAAGAAAGGATGGGGGAAGAAAGACGAAGGGGGGAGAGAAGAGAAGCAAGAATCGAGAGAGAGAGAGAGAGAGATGAGAAGAGAAGATCTGAGAAAGGAGGAGGATGAAAATGGACGGAAGAAAATGACGAGGAGATGGAGATTGGGCAATGAAAAAAGATAGAGAAGAGGACGAAAGAAAAGAAGAAAAGGAAAAAAAAAGAAAGAGGTTATTTAATGAGAAGAGCATTTTTGGAAGAATTGAGGTTAAAATTAGAAATGGGAAGATTTTTTCCGGACGGGGAAAAAGGAGAAACGGGAAGATTTTTTCTGGATGGAGGGAGTATATAAAATAGAAGATTCTTGATTTTAACTTCGAAATGGGAGTTTGTACTCTTACAATTTGACATTATATATTAGCATTTCACAGTATTTTTTGGTATTATATAGACCTGACAGAATTTGACCCGACATGTTTTTGACCCGAGACCTTATCTAAAACCACTAAGAGTTGGCAAGAATCCCAATCTCATTTTCCCGACCAGAATTATCTTGATTCCATCCCTATAATATTCCGTTCCGTTTGGGTTGACAGAATTTTATTCTAAACCCGTTCCGAACCATTTTACTCTTAGTTTAGTCAACTTTTCAAAAGTTTTCCAGAGACCAGAATAGTAAAGCTACCTATAACGCTACACCACCACTCACTTTAAAAGTTAAGAGAAATCACCAAAAATATATGTAAAACATATAGAAAATACAAAAATAAAAACTCCATGTTTTTATTATCGAAACTAGAGTTTTCACTATAACAAATTGGCACTATATATTGGTATTCTGTGGTGTTTTTTACGTTAAACAGACTTGAAAAAAATTGAACCAACATGTTTTGACCCAAGACTTACTTGATCTGAAACTACTATGGTTGGCAAGAATCGCGATCTCTTTGTCCCGATTTGAAATATCCTAGTTCCGTCCCTATAATGTTCCACTTTGTTTGAGGTAACAAAATTTTATCCTAAATCCATTTCGAACCATTTTACAATGAGAAGGGACCGGAACATATAAATATTAATTGTTGCGTGTCACGTATGTATGTATGTATGTATGTATGTATGTATGTATGTATGTATGTATGTATGTATGTAGGTATGTATGTATGTATGTATGTATGTATGTATGTATGTATGCATGCATGCATGCATGCATGCATGCATGCATGCATGCATGCATGTACGTACGTACGTACGTACGTACGTACGTATGTATGTATGTATGTATGTATGTATGTATGTATGTATGTATGTATGTAAACACTAAAAGGTATCACAAATTTTGAATTCTCAAGATAGATACAAATAAATATCTAGATTCAAATATTCTTTAAAAAATATACTAAGACTGGAACACCTCAAAATCTAGACCGTTCTTACTTGTGCCACCCTAATTTAAGGCTCATAGTTTTTTTGAAGCTTATAGTCTTAACTTTTGGCGGATGTTGTAGCATTTTTTAATGTTGCCTTATCTTTTGGCTTTTCTAAGATATTTAAAATAAATATTTTATTTTTTCCCTTACTTTGCCAGTCAATGTGGGTTACCTCCTCCTTATTATTTTATATTTTTATATCTAATTTCAGACAATGACAAAGCAAGACAACTCAAATCTGTTTTGTTTTGTCCCGATCTCGAATATTAAGAGATAAAGAGGGATATGCATGTGGTGTGAATTGTTTGGAAAAAATGGGACAAGACCCGAGATGGTATAAAATTTAAACCATTTTGATCTGTTCCCACCCCTAGAATATACTTCGTTTTGAATAAAGGTTTTGTTGACCAAACCGATACATAACCAAACTCGAACGTAACTTAGCCAAACCGATGTAAAACTGACCTGACCAACAATTGGCCAGCTCTAGTATTATATGTTGTCATTATTTGTGTTGTAATTCATATTCTAAGAATAAAAATACGTAGCTTCTATTTTAATACTTTCTATATGTTCACTCTTAGTTTAGTCAATTTTTCAAAAGTTATCAAGAGACTAGAACACTAAGGCTATTTGTAGCGCTATACCACAACTCACTCCAAATCGAGAGCCATTCAACAACACATGAGCGTTGACTACACTTATTCTTTTCACTTACTTAACACCCTTAGAGCTCGATTTCCACTGTAATTAGGCCTGTCAATGGGTTGGGTATAGACCTGAACCCGTATAATACTCGTAATTTTTAGCCGTACCTGAACCCGTACCTGTATTTTAAAAAATAAAGGGTCGGGTATAAGATGACTAGTCCCGACGCGTTTAGAACTTGTACCGGTTCAATAAATAAATAATATGATATATTACAAAACCTTAGCCTCCTTTTTTGTTGCTCCGCTTCTTCGCTGGTTGCATGGCTTTCAAATCTATCTGTATTTATTTCACCACAATAGAGGGAGTTACACATTGGTTTATTAGTATGAAATAAATAGTTTGGAATTAGTTGTAATGTTATAAAAAACATTCTTGAAACATGAATGAATTTGACAAGAAGGCTGATTGTGAATCTAAGATTTTTGTAGTAGATTTTTGGTGAACAATGCTTGTTTTTTTACAATAACATATTAGTCTTATTTTTATTTGTATTCAATTAAGATGTTTTTTATTCATAGTATTTTCACTATTTGTTTCAATTATACAAAAATAAAATACGTCAACTTTTATTATGGGTATGCCCGGCTCCATACCAAGACCTAATGGGTCCAAATCTAGGATTAAACTTCAAGACCCATTGGGTAAACGAGTACGGGTCAAGATGATTTTTTTAAAAAGGGTACGGGGATAGAACACAATGGACCGGCCCGAACCCAACCATTGACAGGCACTACTACAGAATGGACATTTTAAATTAGTTGTTTTTAACCTTTTAAATGGTCGAGATTCGATGAAAAAGGTAGCGAAGCAATTGGTGCAAATACTTTTTGTATTAGTTGTAGAACCGATTCAAAAAGCCTACCCAATAACTGGCGCAAGTTCTGGGCAGGAGTTTTTAAATTGGTTGTTCCCAAACAACGGGTTCAAAAAGCCTTCTACAGAATTGGCGCCATTTCTTGGGAAGGCTTTTTGAATAGGTTGTTTGGGAACAACGAGTTCAAAAAGCCTTCCCTAGAAATGTAATAATTGCTTAATTATTTTTATTAGTTTTTAAATTTTTAGAAGCTCCCACCAGTGTAATATATGTGGTGATCGAACTCCACATGTAGAGAAGGGTGGGGTGGCCTCCTTCCACTATGCCAAACTTCTATATTTATGTATCTCTACACATATTAATTACCGAGTACTACGGAGTATCTTTTATTAAAGAATAAAATTTTACTTTTTTTTTACTTTTTTTATATTTTTGAGAGAAAAAGACTAAACTAAAAGTAAAACATTGAGAATATACCAAATAGGGGTTCCATGTTTTTATTCCCAAAATATGAGTTAAAGTACTAATACAATGCCAATCATGTAAATATATAATACCAAAGTTGATGGGTGTAATCCACCCAGAACAGATCAAAGGAAATGTCGAAATATTTGACCGGTCAAGTTAATTATTCTTGAAAGGGGAACCCTAATCTTCAGTAAAAGGATGCTCGGTTGACTAAAAAATTTACTGGTGTACTTCGGATAGTATACCGGTCAAACTACTTTATCGCCTCATTCATTCCCCAATTTCATAAACCCATCCCTCAGGAATTACACGGTATGGTTTCTAGGGTTGAAAAGTGTCGGCAAGAGAAGAATCCAAAAGGATTTGGATTGTAGCGACCATGAACGGAGAATCATGGGAGATGCTCGAGTAATCCATCCAAGGTAGTACGCGACAAGAGAGCCACCTTTCTCTCTAGGTGACAAGGTAGTTAGAGGACAGAAGTAGTTGCCTCACATCATCCGAGAACGTGTCATGAGTGGCGCCTTGTCCCCCTTTAGCTTAGTATAAATACTGGTGTAACCTTCAAAGGAAGGGATTTGATTTCTTCTCTCTAAATTCCCTTATAAAAACTCTCGTGCATTCTCCTATATTCTTAATATTAATTGGGCTACAGGTGTTTCCACCTACAATCCTCCCGATCACTTTATGTGTTTTTACCTTTTTACTTTTAAGAATCTAGTAAACAATCCTAGACCCGATCTAGTAATGTTTACCCAGTTAGGTAATTTACACCATCAAAAGTGTATTGATAAATATCCATATACGTACCCACATTATCACAATGCAAGCTCTTTTGGTACTTTTTCTATATTTTACTTCTATTTAGGTTGATTTCTTTATGTTCTAATATTTTTAAATGTTTTTAAATCAAGCCTTTTGGCAAGAAAATATCCTATTTTCTTTTGTGCTTTTTGCTTTGAATATTTTTCTCTTCATTTTATAGTCGGCCCGGTTCTAGTGACACTGGAGAACGGTGCCACTGCCTTTTTGGGGCACTTTTAGTGCTCCATTCGTAAAATTGACGGTTCCTACTGAAAGGTAACCATGCAAGGATAGGCAGCGGAATATAAAAATTTTAACATCCTAACATGATTATCTTGCCCAGAATCACGTACTAAAACTTATAGTGAGTAAGAAATTTATACCTTTCTCCGTAAGCGGTAAAAACAAAGAAGTCGTAGGAAGAGCGTTGAAACTGCAAACGTAACCGTTCAAGCGTTCGGTCTCCAACTTTGACACACGAACAACGCCAGAGTCTACCACAATCTTTATGCTAGTAAAGATTATAGTAGTATAAAATATAAAGATTAAAATTTGGATAATAATAATCTTGTATATTTCTTATAGAAAATATTTCTAATAATATTTAGAAAATATTATAGATATTTTCTATACACAAAATGATATTAATAGAACACAAAGTATTTTCTCTCACTAAAAATGTAATGGCCGAAACTTAAAACAAATTGGTGATATCTCCTTCCTTTTTTTGCTAATGGTGCGTGAGGTGTATATTTAAAACAAAGATGTGATTAATTTTGTCATTATCTAAATGACAAATAATTACCGCACTCAGAATTCAATCAAAGAAAATTGTGATTCTCCTCAATCCAAAATGGCCGAACAAATCATTGTGATTGTGAGAAGGATTTTCAAAATTCTTCTCCATTCAAATGTTCAAAGTGTATTTTATTTGACACCAAAAATTAATATAAATTTAATTTTAAATCAAATAAAAATACTAATATCATTTTTAAACAAGTATACAAATATACTTTAAATAGTTTATGTCAAAATAATTATTTTCATAATTAAAATGACAAATCAAAATAAAATATTCAACATATAATATATATATATAACCGAATATTTATATATATATTATTATATTCCAAAATATTTTATTTTACTATTTTTTACAAATATACAAATTACTTATTATCCCATTGTTTAATCCTACTCCTTAAATTGTCCAAAGTGTGTGACCCGTATAGGCACTTATAAAGCTGGCCACAGTATTGGTTCTGCACCAATACTATAAGCAATAAGCGGTATCTAGCAACACATTATTGCCCCCAGATTATAAGTTAAGACGTTTGCACCGTCAAAACCTTTCCACGACTCAAACTCCGTGTAACTGTATCCCTTTGTCTCAATGTCTAAACTTAATGCAAGGGATTAATAAAATCCAATTTGTATCCATTAAGTCATTAACTGATTTATCAAGTCTGACTCATAGGAACAGACGTCATAAAAACATCTCAGCATGGCCATGCAATTTCCTCAATCATAACTTATCAGTGGGCCCCATAAGACATTAATCTCTTTTAAAAAGAGTACTGACAAATCCTATGTACGTAATCTACGTTTCTGAATACGCGCTGCGGCATACCCAAAACAAAGCCTGTATACCATCCTTATTTCATATGGCTTAGGACAATGCATCAAAGTATGCGGGTTCACATATGCAGAAAACATAATACTTCAAGTCGAAGGATAGTTACACCCGTGGTTGCGCTAAAGATGCTTAGAGCATGAACTAAAAGTTCAAGCAACATCTTTAGGATGGGTCAGTCTGGCATCCTATTATCTCCAGATAATATCTGCCCATGTGCGGATGCGAACACACTGTCATTGACTATGAGACTAAGTCAAACATCCAACACACACTAGTCACACATGCATTAACGATATCCCACTCTCGTTAATACCCGACTATGGACATTCAGATAAATATTTATTTCAAGCTGTTAGTCTCATCAGCAGAATAACACTATCTGATAAACATCTTTAAATAGAAATCTAGGAATATAATATTCGTTTACATTAGCATGAGATGTGTAAACATATTATATCTACCTATACATGATAGGATAACGATGAAAAGTTGGCCATCAGGGCACAACTCCAACACTTACCCCCTCTAACCCACCCCCTAAACCCCACACCCTATCCCCACCTGTGCACCCCCAACCCAACCCCGCCGTAAGCCCCCCACAAAATCTGTGGCTATTATGCAATGCATAATAGCCACACATTTTGTGGGGGGCTTATGACGGGGTGGGGTTGGGGGTGCAGGGGTGGGGATAGGGTGGGGGTTTAGGGGTGGGTTAGAGAGGGTAGGAACCGTCAATTTTACCAACGGAGTACTGGAAGTGCCCCAAAAAGGCAGTAGCACCGGAGTGACACCGTTTTCCGGTGTCACTAGAACCGGGTCGTTTTATATTATAATAATAATAACATAAACTACATTACTTAAAAAGTGCATGATAACGTTACTTTAAAAATTAAAAAAAGTTACAAGTAACACAAATTCAAGTTTCGGTTTTTCTAAGTTACACTACTTTAAATTATAGAGGACATAATAACTTTCCCTAAATAGCACTACATATGTTTTTTTCCCAATGTAGCACTTTTAATCATTATCCATTAGTCATTATTCAAGTAAATGTTTGTCATCACTAGTCATTATGGACAGTATAAAGTGCTATTTAGGAAAGAAAATAATCTAAGTACTATTTAGATAAATGACTTAAGTTTTAGTGCTATTTAGTGCAAATATTTCTTAATTTTATATATTGAATATAAAATATTTTTAAAAAAAACCCTTCCTGGCATGCTCCCATATAAAATATTTAAAAAAATGAATATAAGATATATAAAAAACCCTTTCCCTTTGGTGTCGTGCCCGCCATATGACTCGCGCTGCACAGTGTGGACTTCGGGGGGAGTTCAGCGTGCCTCATGGCATGTAGTACCAACGGGAACACCGCCCCCTCTCTGTTTTCGAGATTTGGGGTAGGAGGGAGTAGTGTCCCGACACGCCAAACTAACAAACGACTTTTTCTTCATTTTTAATTTTTTGTTGTTTTTTTAAAATCTGTCTGTTTGATAAAAAATCATTTCTTATTCTATATAAACCAATCCTTTGATATCAGTTTTTCATCTAATTTAATATAATTATTTTTAACTCAAGTTACTTTATTCAATAATTTTTTATACAATTGATGGACAATAAATCCACCAAATGATCCGAGTCAGAAGAGCGGATCGTAAGAACAGAATTAAGAACGCGAATTCGAGAATAGGGTGTGTATTATTAGCTTGATTTAGCTTGAGTTTTCCCCTTTCGGGTCTCCTCTATTTATACATCGATTCTAGACAATTAAGGTAATACATTATTATTGGAGTCTCTCCCGTCAATGGCGCAATCCCCTTTTTCCGGCTTCGTCTCCGTCATTCAGCTCCGTCTCCTTCTCCGGATTGACTCTGCTAGCTATTCTTGGACTGGAATTGACCGGACTTAGCTTCATGGGCCGGCCCAGGCCTAAGTATTCCCTAAGCGCTTGACCCGAAACCCATCAAATGGTTCAATTGGGCTGCCCGTTGGATATCGGCCCATCACAAGCCCCCCAACTCCTCATTCCTCAACTGGGCCACGTTGAGGGATGGGGAGTTACGAGGTCCACGTTGGCGCTCCAGCGCGGATCCGGGCCGTTCCTTGCGTGACATTTGGGCACGATCTCCACAGATATGTAATCATGACCTGCTGCTTCACCTTCACATTGTCAGTTAAAACCACCGCTAGACGCCATCTTCTTCCTTTGCCTTCTTCGTCATCATTCATTCGTGGTTTCATTGTTTTGTTACCCGGCCCGTTTTCCTTCTTATCCAGGTCAGTTTCCTTTCTCGCCGCCATGATTGTTTCTGATTCCGATTCGGCCACCCCATCGGCCAATTCTCGCCAAGCCGATCACTTGGCCTCTGGTCGTAACCCCAGCCACACTCAATCCCTCAGCCGTCGCCGTCGGCCGTGCCTGGCCAAAAGCGGCGCCGATTGAGGAAGCAATTTCCTTCCTCAACCCCGGTAGATGAGGGCTCGAGGGTTAAGTTGGACGAAAACATCATGGCGATGTGCCATTGCCAGATTAGTGACCGGGGGTTCACCGATGCTATTGACATGGTTGGACCCTCCATCGAGGTCTTGAGACCTACCAGTACCCAAACCGCCCTAGACGCTCCTTCAGGGTTCTTCACAGTTCATCTGGCTTCTCTGAAGAAGGGGCTGCGCTTCCCACTCCATGTGTTGTTGATCGAATTCCTCAATGTGGTGGACCTCTTTCCTTGCCAACTGGTCCCCAACTCTCACCGGTACATCGCCGGTTACCTGGTCAGATGCAAGGATGTAGGGGTGAAGCCTACCCTGGACCATTTTGTGTTCACCTTTAAGCTGACCAAGGGCCACAAGGATTGGGCGTCCTATGCCAGCCTTTCCCAGAGGTCCAGTAAACTCTTCGCCAGTGACAAGAAGGGGTCAACCAAGAACTGGAAGCCTTTCTTTGTTTTTGTCTCGACCGGGCCCGAATCTCCTTTCACAGGTTCAGGGCGCCCCTCCTTCCGTCGCATCCCATGGCCCCCGTCGGATGCCACCCTTTTGTCGATCACCCGTCAACTCTGCAATAAGGGAGTCATGAACATCAAAGAGGTTGTGACAGAGGAATCCCTTGCCGGGTGGGGGTTTGAGTTCTTCCAAGATGAGCTCCGTCACCAACCCGACCTGCTGAGGGACATTCCCGGGGATACCAGCCTGACCAGCTGAGGGACATTCTTGAGGAAGGTCTTGACTGTGGTCCTTTTGGTAATTGACCCTGTTTTTTTTGCCAAAATGTTCTAGTTTATCTCCTTCAAGGCTAACCATTTTTCCCGCTTTCAGTTGAATTACAAGATTTAGAAGAAGAGGTGGACGACGATCTTCTGCCCAGTCGCTTCACAGCAGGGAGGAAGAGGAAGAGAGAGGCGAAGGGCCAAGGCAAGCGCTCTTCCTCCCACCGAGAGGAAAGTCCTCCTCGAGAGCCAGCTGTAATCGTGGTGGAGGACCAGGATGATGATGCCCTGGAAACGGGTACAATGGCGGGCCATTCTCCTCCGCACTCTTTGATGCCAGGTGGCGGTCTCACTGGGTCGTCCAAGGGTGTTGCCTCGGAGCGACCTCCCTCGTCGCCCGCAGTAACCTACGAGGTGGCGACCGAGGGTCGTTCGACGAGGCTCTGCATTCCTCCTCTGCCCCAAAGTCTAGGGGACGTGCAGCTGGAGACCCTGATCACTCTGCCCGCAGAAGACCAGGCCCGCATCTCGGCCGGTTCTTAGGACGACCTTGACAACATGGTCCTCCTGATGCTAAGCCAGGTACCTGCATTCATTTCCTTCCACCACCCCTCCCTCTTATGCTCCTAACCTTTATGCCTTGGTGTAGGCTACGCTGGGGATGATTGAGGTTGTCGGCAGGAAACGGGGCCTCCAGGCTGCCTTGGGTGAGGCGTTGAAAGCAGCGGAGGCCAAGCAAAAGGAATTGTAGGAAGTGGTCGCTCGCCTCACAAGGGAGTTGGAGGAGAGGGAGAGTCGCTGCGCTACTCTCGTGGTAGAGAAAGCTGTTGTATTTAGGTGCCCTAGCGGCAATCAAATACCTATGTAACTGTACACTTTATCATGAATGAAAGACCTTGAAGTATGTTTTATATCTCGTGTAACATAACATAGCTTCAGTCCATAGACGATAGCGCTTCAGTAACATAGATGAGGACTACGATGTTCTGATTATGAGACTGTTACTTCTTGACGAAGGCTATGTCTAGAATATCCCTAGTCGCACTTTATGATAATACGGACGTCATAACGTATCAAGACTAGTACGTACGAGATGAGATAGTTGCATCTCATAGACTATAAGTATTGTGATATCTTAATCTGTACGTAGGTGCATATTATATTGATAATATGTGACTCGATTGACCCATCTTGAGAATACTGCATGGATCTACAGTAATGTGTTTATCAGTATTCTCAAATCGACCTTGCTATAACTATCCTCAGACTTGAAGTTATTACATTCTTTGATATGTGGGGCCGTATGCTTTGATT